GACTCTGTATCTAAACCTACTTGAGGAGCATAAACACTTATAATATTAAAAATCTTAGTATCAATGATAATCTTAAGGGCTATAATTCTATCACCAACTCTATTAATTGTTACAACATTCTCTTTCAAACTCTTATCGATAATTACACCTATACCATTTTTAGTGCGACTCTTACCAGAATACCAAAGTTTAAAACCTAAATTATCAATCTCCTTAGCATTTTCTCCAACCCACTTAGTTTCTTGAATACATAAGATATTAATTTTCCTATGAATCATAATATCAACTAATTCCATTAATTTACCATTGAGAGTACCTATATTCCAAGATCTTATCCTAATATTAGTTTCATTAGTTTCATGGACTAACTTCTTTACCCGCATTCGCCAGTAATGTGAGAACTTTTGCTTATTTAACACTACACCCGGACGACGGTGTAGCGACCCTTACACACTTTTCACTGTATTCAGGCTATACAGCGCGTCGCTTCCAGGGGACGCCCTAGCACTTACACAATGATCAAAAGGATCAAAAACAATGATCAAAAGGATTCATGTCATGATTTTTTTTTGATTTTACGCTGGCTGGTTGTCGACTACCTAACACAACCCTCCACTTTTCGCATTCGGGCTTGGGACCGTTAAAGGCAGTGTTTAACCTTTACGATAATATGATTTAAAAATTACTCTTACTTGGTGATGTTGAAGAACAGTTCTATATGGATCCACTACGAGGATTTGATTACTCTTTTAAAAGGAATCATGTATGCAGATTGAAAAAGGCTCTATATGGTCTAAAAAAATCACCTAGAGCTTAGTTTGATAGATTTGCAAAAGTTATGGAATGAGTTATATACAAATAGAGTTAAGGAGGTCATGCTCTTTTCATAAAGCACTCCATTGATGGCAAAATCTTAATTCTTATTATGTATGTTTATAATATGATTGTTATAGGAGATGACAATCAAGAGCAAGAAACTCTTAAAAAAAGGCTTGTTGAAAAATTTGAAATTAAAGAGTTAGAAAAACTCAAATACTTCATTGTAATATAAGTGGATCAATCTAAAGAAGGGATATTTCTCTTCCAACAGAAACATGTTATGGATCTGCTAAAAGAGATCAAGATAACAGAGTGCAAGCTGTGTAAAATTTCCAACTTCACCAAGACATAAATTGGACCTTGCTGAAGGAGCTGATATAGATATGCGACAATATTAAAAGTTAGTGAAAAAATTAATACTCTTCCTGACAACGCGTTTGTAGTAAGTTTAGATAGCTAATTCTTGCACTAATCTAAAGAGTCATATCTTCAAACCATTTATAAAATATTCAAATATCTCAAGTTAAGGCCAGAAAAAGAAAACTTATATTAAAGATGTGATACTCTACTAGTTGAACGATACACAGATGCAAACTATGTTGGATTACTAATAATTACAAGGTCTATTTTAGGGTATTATACATTTTAAAAAAAATCTCATAATTTGGAGAAGAAATAAACGACTTGTAGTTTTAAGATCAAGTGTTGAAGCTGAGTTTAAAGTCATTTCGCGAGGGATCTGTGAGCTTCTATGAGTTAAAATTAATTAGTGGATATAAAAATCAAGTAGAAAGAGCCTCCGAAAATATATTGTGATAATAAGCCAGTCACCAATATTGCACACAATCCTGTACAAAATGATCCTGCTAAGCATGTTAAGATCAATTGGCACTTTGTCAAAAAGAAATTGGAAAGTGGGGATTTGTACTCCATATATGTTCACATGAAATCAAATGGCTAACCTATTCACTAGAGGATTGTGCAACCCAACATTTAAAAATGTCATAAACAAAATTGGAATGGTAGATCTCTACCATCCAATTTGAGGGGGTGCCAAAATTCTACTTCAATCATAGCAGATAATTGAAGGCACATGGATCGAAACTTTATATTGTTGTATCTGTTTACTTGTGACTCTCATATAGCAAAGAGCTAAGACCCATAGATCGAGGTATTGTACTGTTGAATCTATTTCTTTACGGCCCTCTGATTGAAATTAGCGTGCCTCTTTTTAGGATCGTCATCACCTAATTATTTTTCCTTCTTTTTTTTTAATTTATTTCTATTTTATAATGCTTCTAAGACTTGTATATATACATCCCCTCTTGTACAAAAAAGAAAATGAGATTCTTGAGAAGTTTTTTCATTGTTTTATTTTCTACAATTATTATAACAGATTTTGCCATTTAATTTATTATTATATATTTCTATGTTTATTACCCCATTATTATTGAACTGTAGTCTAAATTCTATTAAATTTTAAACATTTTGTTATTCTGATCTAATGTTCAGTCCGGTCTTTAAATAATAGCCTGTATGTAAGGCTTCCTACCTTTTGATGTTTCAATGTCTATTGATACATTAACATAATTATCAGGGTTTTGTTAAGAGGATCTAAATTTATAAGTCATCTAGGGATTTTAGGGTTTTTCATGTTGGTGCTCAGCTTTTCAATTATCTTTGATAATGTATCAATGCGTTGGCATCTCAAAGCAATTTTAAATTTATGGATCGACACATTAGGTTGACTAGAAATCATTATTTGCGCACCTCAATATAGTAACCTTGATTCTTAAAATTTTATGAGACTATTAATTTATATTGATTTTAATTTGAAGGCTCTTTTCTTCCTTACTTTGATACCTATAAAATAATAAAATTCAAGCCAAGAAATCAATTTTATATTTTGATATGATGTTTAAGTTATTTCAGATGGCTTCAACTAATAATTTATTTAGCTTGAGGTCGACATGTGTTTTAAATTAAGGGGATGTAGTGGCGTTAGGGTCAATTTATGGACATCAACCATGTCGAAGATGCTGGCTGATGGCTTCTTTAATAACATGTGTTTTTTGATTACTCCAGGCCAACATGCTTTATCGTTTTTTACATATTGATATGATATTGATGCTGAGCTAAATGGCTTTATCTAATAAGCTTCTATGCTTCATTTAATGAGTGCCGTGTGGTAGATTAGAGGGATGCGTTGCTGTTAGGGTCCTACATATGGAAATAAAAGATGTTAAAGATGCTGGCCGATTGCATTTTCAATAACACATGTTATTTGATTTACTCCTAGGTAGATAGGTCTAGGATGCATCTACAAGGTAAATCATTCATATGGATCCGTTTGGTGAAAATTAAAAAATTGTTAACAATTTATGCTGTTGGTGCCATTCAATGAGTACAAATTGAGATGAATCAGCCTTGCTTTTCTGTCATATTTTTATCTTATCAAGCGCAACTCATTCATGTGTTTTCTTGAGGCAAGCCAATTTGTTTGTTAGGTAGCTCCAATGATGGTGAGTATGATAACAGGTAGTGGGTTCATTGGGGAAGTTTTCAGTGTAGAGAATTGAGATAGCCTTTAGAAGCAAGAATATAAATTACTATTCTCTCCAAGACCTTGGGTTTTTTTTTTCTTTCCTTTTTTCTTCTTTTTTTAATTTCTGTTGGTGTTAAAAAGGCTATGAATTATGCTCCAGTTGATGCTACAATTGAGCATATTATGATTTATGCCATCGAACGAGACACTCTGATAGTTAGCGTGAAGGGATGCAGTTCAATTTACATAATCATGGTGAGATTTAGTACGAAAAGAGCTCATTGGGATATACTCAGGATTGTTATTATCGTTGACCATCACTTTGTTCTTATGCACAATCTTTGGCTACTTCTTTGTTTCTTAAAGACATCTATTGGGGGAAAAAGCTCCCTAGAATATGTTGGCGAAAATAGCTTGCAATATCTGAGGGAGAGGTTATTCCATATATTTTTTCTGAAGCAGAGATTGACAAGATAAAAAAACTCACATGAGTTGTGTGAGAAAAATATTTTTATTAGAATGAGGAATTCGAAGTGATCAAAGGTTGTGACATGCTAGAAAAGTTGTTTTATGATTTGTGGGGGATCATAGGTAGTGAAAAAATGAAGGTGTGGATAAGAGTTGAGCTTAGGAGAGGAGAGTTAAGGGAGAAAATATGCATGCGGTTGTTACGATTATAGAGTGCAGATATAAGGGAGGTTGTGGAGAGCGTCGGAGTTCGGAGCGCATGATCACAGCTGTGATCTTTTCTTATTATGGCTGGGAGGATAGAGGAAATGAGAAACTCTGCTTGGTTTAGATGGTGTGTGTGGATGACGATGCGATGGTTGTGACGTGGAATGAGCTTTTGTGTAATTCAATTATTATTGGAGCAGGTTCAGTAGTTTGGATTGAAGGAATTGGGGTGTTTTCTTTTGATATGTTTATTATTTGTCATGAATGTTTTTAATTGATTAAATAGATAAAAAGCTATCCATAAAATCCAATTAGTTAAAGGGCATTTTACTTAGTTGGATGTATTAGATGGATGTCCTGTACGGCAAATTAGACCTAACCTTAAACTAATTGGGTTATTGATCTGATTACATGAATTTAAGTTTTATGTTAATGCTAAAATTAGCCTAATTGTTGTCTTTACTAATTTATTTTAATTTAATTAGTTCAAATTTTGAGATAGCAAAAATCTATGAAAGAATTGGTAAAGATAATACAAAAGTTATTTGTAGTAAAGTAGCATAATAGTCCCCGGACTATTTATATGGTTATTTTTGTCCCAGATTCTATAAAAGTGTCAAATTATTCCCCAGACATTCTTGATTGCGGCTAAATTAATCCTTGAGCTATTTCAGCCCATATTTTAAAAATATGAGTCTAAATTGGCACTTTTGTAAACCCTTGGACTAAGATAACCTCTTACAAAGAGTCAGGACACCGTTTTTGACACTCTCCTTATTTTATTGTCATACAAATTTCTACTAACTGCTCTTAAAGCATGAGTTTGAAATCCCACTTCATGTCTGGCTGAGCTACATCTTGCATCAAATCAACTGTCATTTTAACAATATGATAAGTTTCAGACATTATTTCAACTGCTTTACACACCAATCAAGTCTGCTGATTTAAGAACAAAATGCAGGTTGCTCACTCAGAGGCAGAGAATGCCGTTAACATGAGGCAGAAGCTCGCATCCATGCCCGGTACAACAGGCCCTTTTGCATCTGTAAACATGACAACCATCTCAATGGCTCCACAAGCAGAGACTTTGCTAGCAACACCACCCATGCAGCCACCGCCTAACCCACAGCCTGTAACTTCTTCCTTAAATTCCATAACCAGCGTTGAAGACGAGCATAAGAAAGCCGCCGCCGCTGTTGCTGCGAAACTCGCCTCTTCTACTTCCTCCGCTCAGGTCCTGACGTCCATTCTCTCATCCTTGGTTGCTGAAGAAGCCGCTTCGATGAATGGAGGCCGAAGCTCAGGATTTATCCCCTCTAATAACCCTTTGCTTCCCCCAGATAAAAGACCAAAGCTTGAGAAACCAATGCCTATTACAGACATGAACAGCAAATATTTTGGCCATATCACATCACAACATCAACATCCCAACACAACCATTCAGCCAACATCACAGAGCACTCAACCAATGCAGTCTTTCCCAACACAACCACCACCTCTACCTTCACTTCCCCTACCACAACCTTACATGCAGAGCAGTGGGGTATTGATGAATACTGTGGTGCCATTTGGGTTTAATGGTAGTCATCTGCCACCTCCGCCACCTTTTTCCGTGCATGCATCAATTGGAATGATGAGACCAAATGGTCTGGCCCAACCACCGCCCCCGGCAACACCACCGCAACCGAAACAACAACAGCAGCCTCAGCAACAGCCAACCACTGGCGGGTTTTTTTCGTCTTCTGGAATCGGATTCTATGGGCCGCTCCCGACAGCACCGCCAGTCCCGCGCCAATAATTCACCCAAAGATTCTGAGTGTATATTTGTAGTATTATATTTTTGGTTAATTTAATATTTGCATTTCATGCTTGTGTTGGGTACAGGAGCAAAGTGGTTAGTTCTCATTACCTGCTGTTGAGGCAGCATCCAGATAAGAATCTACTAATGAGAAGTAAAAGGTTTGCGTTGTCCTTTGATATCACTGAATGTCTAAATGTATTGTAGTGTAGTCTTATTATGATAGGGTTAACCCTTTTTCTCACCTATAATATTGAATGTTTTGCTGTATCTTAGGGAAAATAATTTCACATTTGTATGAAATTATTATGTCCATGCAATCAGAGGTTCGGTTTATCATCTCCTTTCTTACATTTGTGATTTAGGAAGAATCAAATAATATGAAAATAGACAAAAAGTGCTTTCTTTTTAAGACTAGCCCTTACATTTCCCACAATTTTGAAAGTGTTAAATAAAATACTTATAATACAGGTGCATATGTGCATAATTTTTGTACATCAATTTATTCTTATGATTGATTACATATCATTTGATTATCTATTGATTCTTTTATGATCTATGCAGTTGATTGATTATTGATGTTATATGAATGATTTATGTTAGGATAAATAATAAGAGCAATGGTTGTTTTAGTAAATGAAATTGCAATAAATTGAGGTCAAGAATTACTGACATATGCTAATGAGTGTCCAAATTTAGTAATATATTTTTTTAAATGGACCCTCTTAACCAACTTGAGTTGGATATTTGAACAAATACGTGTATGCTGATTGTAAAATGGATTACAACTAAAAATTCTAAGTCTAATTCATATTTTGTAGGGTTGCTTTAGTCATGCCTAGTGCTATACTAACTATAAAACAATTAAAATTCATATATTTGATTTTGTCATGCAAATAAATATCAAACAAGTGAATGCCACTCAACTTCAATTAAAAAAAAAAGTATAGCCTTCACAACTAGTCATGTGTATATAATTCAACACGAATAAATACAGCTCAACAATACGTTTATACTGATATTTGTCGATTTCAATTGTGAATCAATAGAAGTTACACAGTTGCATCTGATATATTGTTAAAAAATTTATTCAGCAAAACATAACTCTCTCGATGTAATTTTTAAGTTGAATCTTTTAGAAAATAAATTCACGGACATCCGAGCACCTATTTCAACAAATTTATAATTATATTAAAATTTTATTGGAGAAGAACAATTAAAACAAATGATCATATATAAAACAATCCAATTCGAGTCTGAAAGTATAATTTGAAATTTTGAAGCATTAATTGAAGGGTTTAGCAACATCGAACTTTGACATGCTTTAAAAAAATCAAGCAACTTAATGAGAGGAATCATTCAATTCTGAAATAATTAAAACACTAAAATTCTAAAAGAACCATTTAGAATCTATGGAATTCAATAGTGTTTTAGGATTTTTGATAAATTTACTAAAATAATTCACCTAAAACTCTATAAATAGCACATATTTTCAATGTAGGGAACAAGGAAGCTAGAAATTAAGTTTAAGCTCATGAAAAAAATTTGAAGACAATGGTCACTAATAATTATAATTGACCACTACCAACGGTCATTATAGCCTAACTACTATATCAGCTAGTAGAAACTGTAGCATAGATAGTACTTCCATGTTCTTACTGTAGGTTTTTGTATAATAGTCAAAATGGTGTAACATCTTCTTCTTAGTGAAACTTTGTACTTTAAAATATGTACTTGATTATTTTGACTTGTCCAGGTTTTATGATTTTCTCCCTTCCTACATTTTTCAAATAAAAATTTTGCTCTATCTTATCACTTACAAATATTTGTGTACTAAATATCTCTATTAAACTAAGACTTTATTTTTATCTATCATTGAGAATTGTCTAGCACATGACAACATCATTTATAATTAGTAAAAGTACAATATTTTCATTGAGCTCAAACTATCAATGTATATTACACTTCATTATGATAAAATGAGTAGGATGCATTTTGGTAATGACTAAATTAAAATCAAAGTAAATCTAACCACAAAAGAAAATGAGCAACTACGCAAAAGCCAACTAAACATAAAAATCAACAAAACTTAAGATATGATAGAAATAAAATTATATCAAATATCAATTAAAACATAAATAATTATATCAAATACAATTGTACCAAGCACCGAGAAAAAAAATTGTTGTCAAGAACCTCATAAAGTTAAAAGAGGCAAGACTAACAACATCTAGATAATAGCCAAACAAGACAAAGAAATATGAAAAGAAGAGTGATGTTGAAAACACCTAACATCAATAATTCGATAAAATTGCGATTTTAGAAATCAATTGTGTCAATCATAGATGCTCATAAATCTACGAAGCCAGAAGCAAGCAAGCTCAACTAAAAATTATGAAAGACATCATACTCATACTATGGAGCCATGGCACACCAAGTGGTGGGGTTGTGAATTAGTTGTGATCAACACTTTAAAATTTAATTTTTAATTTCTTTCTGACTCAATTCCCATACAATCAAGTGCAATATAATACAAAAGATGTAATAATAATGGCATATAATGGTAGCATTTAATAATTTGATTTTCATTAACAAAATTATATCATTTGTTATAGATTAAGTTGACAAAATTTTAACAATGCAATTTAGTAATCAAGCTAAATAAGTTACTAAGGTAAATGATTATGTTTGAACAATAAGCACTAGTATATAGAAAAATAATAGAACATTAACTTTGGAGATTATTCTTGATAAACTCCTAAAGTAAATTTTGTCATAAAATATATTTTTTTTTTATGGGAATAAATGTATGCTAAGAGTATAATGGTTCAACTTTTAAGCATAATAAATAGACGTAACATAAGAACATAATTAAATTTCTACTTTAATCAACAAATGGATAGTTTATTTGATCTTAAATATACCTCTTATTTGAACCTCTAGGTTTATGATATTTAAGAGTAATAACGATATATGTAAATGTATTGCATAAATTTAAATTATAGGTTTAGATAAACAAGATTGACATTTATGTGATTTGGTTTATCCAACAACCTAAATTCATGTTGAAGCACAACTCATACTTAAGATTTCACTCTACAAGAGCAATATTTTCTTTACTATGTGGGAATGGAGAAATGCTTTTAATCTTCTCTGTGAAAGGAAATAGTTTTCTCACCTTAATTATGGGTTTAGGAGCCACTGTAATCCTAAGTTTAGAATATTTTTTTAGGATTAACTTCATCCAAACTAATCCAATGTGTTACTATAGGACAAATAATCAATTTCATATACATTTTTGTTAGATAAACTTGTGATTTTGTTCTCCTTTTATGATATAGAAGTATTTACATAATTATTATATGTTGAATTAAAAATAAACTCACATGAGCAAGATTTTTTGTCGACAAATCAGTAACATCACATCAATTATAGTCTTGTCTACACATGAATTCATTTATATATGAAGTCCTTTTATTTGAAGCAAGTTAATATATGAAGCAATTAAGATGAAATTTGATGTGAACATCAGGATGATTGTGGTCGCTCATGTAGTGTGATTTGTCTATCGACACAAATTGTTCATTAATGCGATTAAACTTAGTTTCATTTTTTATTTATAGTTTATTTTATCTTAAATATACCTCTTATTTGAACCTCTAGGTTTTAATTATAGATATTTCAAACGCACTTGACCCTTACTATCTAATTCAAATTCATTATTTTAATCATCATAGATGATCTTTCTCACCTAAGTCTAACTACAATAGCCTATGTTAGCCCTCAGGATATGTTGAATAGGATGTGACATTAGAATGACTATGAGACACCCATGAATTGATAAAAGAAAATAAAGTGAACCTTATTAAGCATTCAATCTCAAATTATCCGAAAATCAAATAAATATTATTCAAACGTGTTTGAACTTATTTAGTTCAATGATAGACCATTTCTTTTGCTTAACTTTAATTAGTCTTGGTAGACTCAATTAGTGTTATTTTTCAATCAAGTGTTTATACATGATTATTGATCATGAGATCCTTGTTATTTGAATCATTAGCTCAAGTTTGACATGTGATCAAAACTTGCACTAATACCTTTCTAAATCGTTAACTCATTTAGTATGTTCAAATCAAATATTTTAATCGCTTTTTGGAAATTCTTTATATTATTTAAATAAAAAAACATAAATGGTTTGATCATAATTAATTATTATAGTAGTGATACTGCTTCCAAGTGCAACCACACACTGGGGGCTCATGCAAATGCGCGTGTCGTATCTGTAATATCTAATTTTAGAGTTCGGAATGTCGATCCCAAAGATAGAGAGGTAATCCTTATTATTGGTTTTATTCCTAGCATGAAAGTTTGGTTTTTGAAATAGTTCTATAGATTAATCCTAATGTATCACAAGCAGATTAAAAATTAAAGTCCTAGGACAACAAACCTAAATTATCACAATTACACTGAAAATATCAATTTCTAGTGGCTCTTCCTTGTAATGAGTTAAGTGGGCTTCATGAAAATGAGATTTACAAGTATATAAGATTAGTGAAAAATAGAAGCAATGGTCTTCTTTACACTCTCCCAAGTGCATAAATAAGTTTGGTTAGAAATGACTTTATTCTCATAAATTGAATAACTAATCCATCAAAGCACATTTCCCTAACATTTGCATATCCCCACAAGGCATATCAACCTATATGCCATAGTTTAATGTGATAAACCTAGTTGATTCTACCATAGAATTTCCCAAGACTTATGGTTCACTTGGCCAGAATGAAAAGTAAATTAAGATTTGAAGGTTTATCATCACCATATAAAGCAATAAAAACACTATACAATTCTCATTCCATCTATCCTACTTAATCATCGTAAAGAAGGGTGAAAATTTTATTCAAGAAGCATGATAAAAACACAAAATATTCTATTAAAAACGAGAAATCCACTATCCAATTATTATAAAATGAATACAACAGAAAGAATATAAATAGACTTAGCTTTCTCGCCTTTACAATGACCAGAAGATGGATCAATCAACACACTTCCTAAATTCCTAGGCTGGTGCTCCTGCTGTACTTT